TTTTTTTTTTTTCCTTTTTTTCTTTTTTTATTTTTGCATGTAACGGTCGGGCCTTCCCCGGGCCCGTGCTGCCCTCTTCCGGCACCGGCGGCTTTTTTTTACAACCCAAAGTTTGTAAACAAGAGTCACGTGTTGGCGAGGGGGCGGCGGGTCACACCGTGTGTGTCCCTCCCACCACCGGTGCAGCCCCCGTGTCCCCAAGGATGCTCGGGTGAGGATCTGGGAGCGGGCAGCATCCGCCTGACGAGCTCCGCCTGTCTCCCGCAGGAACACGAGTGTACAGCCCGCCGGAGTGGGTCCGCTACCACCGCTACCACGGCCGTTCAGCAACAATCTGGTCCCTGGGCGTCCTGCTCTATGACATGGTCTGCGGGGATGTCCCCTTCGAGCAGGACGAGGACATTGTTAGGGGCCAACTCTTCTTCCGCCAGCCGATCTCCCTCGGTGGGTACCCGGCGTCGTGGTGGGCAACGGGTTTGGGAGATGGCACCGGGCGCAGGAGCATCCCCGCTCTTAGGGTTGTGGAGGAGGGTGATCTCCTGTGGTTAGCTGAGGGAGGTGGCACGTGAGGAGGTTGATCTCCCACGGTTAGCTGGAGGAGGTGGCACGTGTCCTGCCATCCTGCTCTCCTCCAAAGCGGCTCCTGGATTGGGAGGTTTGGGGGTAGCTCTGAGCACACCCAGCACAGCCTGGGCACTGCGGATGGTGGTGGAAGGTGGACAGGAGCCTTCTCTGACTGTTCGGCGGTTTCTGGTTTCTCTCCCCAGAGTGCCAACACCTCATCAGGTGGTGTTTGTCCTTGCGGCCTTCAGACAGACCGTCTCTGGAGGACGTTTTCAACCACTCTTGGCTGCAAGGCATTCACCTGCCCTAGGAGATGGCAGACACCCCATCTGCACGGTTTGGCCCAGGACCCTGGCAAAAAAACAGCTCCAGGCATCTCCTGGCCATAAGAAGCAAAGAAAACCAGGCTTCCTCACAAGCGTAGCACTGAGCAGGGATCATCAGATGGGAACACGCACATCTTGTCCCAAAGCTGGGCTGGAAACCTGGTCTTGCAAGTTCCGGTGGCCGCCATCCAACCCAGCTGCCCTGGACTCTATCTGAATGACCCTGTCTCATTTGCTGGTCTTGCCAGTAATTATTTTTTGTTTGTTTTGGTCTGGTTTTGGTTCTGGTTTCGGTGGCTCCCAAACATCTTCCTGATCACCTGAATTCGGGACGGCGAGAGGATCAGAGACCTTACTGCAAGAAAAGCTTCAACAGGGGAAAAACTGCAGGGGGAGGGCAGGTACCGTGGCTGAATGGGTCTCCTCCGCTGTCACCGTGCTCGAGTGCCTTCAGTTGAGATCTGGGCTGTGCTGGAGGATATACTTGAATTTTCCTACTCTGCTGCTTTTCCAAGACTCACCTGGGTATATATTTCCTCTTTTCAAAAAGAAAACAGGTCAGAAGACATTTGGGAGCCAAGCAGGCGATCCCCTCACCTCCCGTGCCTCCATATCGCGTGGATTTTCTGGGTTTCTTTGCTTCCCTGTGCCCTCACGAATGCACAAACAATGCAAACCAACAGAGCTGTAAATGTGTTCAAAGTTATATAGGAGCGAAATTTGATGTACAGTTGTTAATAGTGATAATGTTTTACTTTTCTTTTTTTTCCCAGTTTTTAATTTATTTTCATGAATTTGTTTTTTTTTTAAAGAGAGAGTTCTAGCCGGTAGGATAACTTATTTATTTATTTATAATTCACGTGGGTTTCCAACCCACGCCTTGCTTCTACAGCTGCTGATCCCCCGGTTTTCCATTTGGGTCTTCCCTCCGTGTCTGTCCCGTGTCCATCCCCAGCCCGCAGTGTTTCTGTCTGGCGGAGGTGCGGAGCGGCTGCCTGCTCCCCAGCTGTCTCTGTACATACTTCTGGTTGCTGTTGTTTCCTTGCCATGTGTTTTGTTTTTTCCCCCACGGGTGTCTTGTTTGGGACTGGGGAGGGGGGAGCTGGGCCGGGCTGTCCGCGCTGTCGAGTCTTTATATGTAACTAAGTGTTTAGCCGGCGGGTCTTTTCTTAATAGTTCATATTGTACAGGGGAATTCAGAAATCTTATTTTTTTTATGCAGTTTTAAATAAAAACAAACCACTTGACATGATGGAGACATCCCTTTATTGTGGGGCGGGATGAAGGATGCTGTGAGTGTGCCAGGTACCGGTGGCTACTGTGAGGCTACTGTGGGGACCACCAGTTTGTCTCCAGCTGAGATGTAACTCAGAAGAAGGTCCCACCCAAAGGCTCACTGAGCAGCGTTAACCAGGACCAGCCAGCCGACAGCACCACAGGGAAGGCTGGATCCATCCCTCTGCTGGGTGTTTCCAGGGCCGACTGCTCCTGGCAGGTCTGGGAGGAGAGATCAAAGGGCTGTGGAGCCTTTCGCGTTTCCATTCATCCGCAGGCTGGTGCGGAGCATGTGCTGGGGACGGCAAGTAAACAAACATCAAAGCGACCTTGTGAAAGGCCGGATGTTGTCAGCCAAATTAAATTTTAGTAAGGCAGATCCTGTTGCTCCAGCTCTGTTGGCGCAGAGTGGGTGTTGCATGCCGGGTGCCGGGGGGTGGGGGGTGAAGAAAGCCGCTGGCGGGCGGCGAACGCGGAGCGAGAGGAAGTTGATCTTCGGATTACGAGAAGTCGGTCGCTATCAGTCAGCAGCGGTAACGCTTCGCTCGAGCTTTTACCCTCCAAACTGTCAAACCCTGCTTCCCAGCTCTGCTACGCTTTGGCTTTGGGGGTGTTGTTTTGGGGTTTTGTTATTGCTTGGGATTTTTTTTTTTTTTAAAGTGCTGAATTTTGAAGCCCTGTTCCTGCTTTGACCTCCTGGTGCACCTGCTGTGCTTCGCACGCAGGGCTGTGTCTGCCACAAGGAAGGGGCACGTTTCCCCTTCTGCAGGTTACGTTGCAAGTCCCCCAGATCTCAGACAACAGGACCATCCTTTCCTTGACTTGTCCCAGGGCTTTCTTTCTTAAAACCCCCATGCCCAGGCAGCAGTCCCTCTCCCTGGCTCACCCCAGGCTTGCCAGCACTGCTGTCCAAGCCAGGGGGCTGCCTGTGAGGGAATGGGGGTCCTGGAGCCACGTCCCAGCCTCGTGGGCTGACCTGGTGTGCTGTGTCACTGCTGTGCCTCTGCCTTCAGCAGAAAGCATTAACTCCGTTTGTTTGTTTTGCCTTTTTTTTTTTTTAAACTCAGCTGCATCTTTCATCTCCTTAGGGCTGCTACAGGCAGGAAGTGCAGCTCCAAACGCCTTCAAAGTTTAGGCCTATTTTGAGATGTGGTTTGTATTTAACCTCCTCTCTCACTCGCTTTTTCCCCAGACCATCCGGGAAGCTGCTCTTACACGAAAGCAAACCTCCCCGCCACACTGCCTGCTGCCGCGAGGAGCCTGAGCCCCTCAGGTGGCCACTGTCCCCCCTCAGCACCACTGAAACGCTATCGCGGTCGCCCCGGCTGCGGGCTGAGCTCGGCCCACCCTTCCCATAAACGCTCGCTAACTGCTGCGGTGTTTCTTAGAAAACTCGCTGCAGAAAGGCTGAGCAGGTCCGGTGCGGGGCTGGGGTGCTGATAGTCACTTTGTTTCCGCCTGTTGCTGATGATTTTGTCCCTGCCAGGCTTGTGCTGCAGGAGGGGAACGGTACCGTCATGTCCCCCAGCAAGATCCCACTGCCCGGGTACCGTTTTGTCCTGCCAGAGTGACAGGGTGTATCCAAGGTTTGGGTGTCGGAAAAGGATCGGTTTGTGTTTGATCCCTGTGCCGCCTTCCTGTGCAGTAATGCCTTCACGGGGCTGAGAGCCACCAAACTTGTGTCCCAGGCCTCTGCCATGGGGACAGAACCATGGTAGGTGTGATGGGGGACCTGAAGATGGGCAGTCGATGCCTGCTCCCCTCCACATCATCACGTTGTGGCATAGGGGCTGGGGGAAAGGAAAAGGCCTTTTCACCCCTCATTTCACGGCCCTTTGGGGCTGTCAGCTATGATAGGAGGGGATGAAGATGCAGGAGTTTTCCAGCAGGAAGTGATTTGGAGCCAGCATCATGCTCCCACCTCTATTTCATAACATTTTATTGCTCTCTGCTGTCAGCAGAAGGACCCACATTTCAAAAAGCAGAAAAAAAAGATGAAGCAGGAGCAGGATGAGATTTCAGACTGTTGGACCTCCTATTCTGGGAGTACCACTGTGCCATGGATGGCTGAGGACTTGCAAAGGGCCAGCACTCATCACACCTGTGGCTTCCTGTACCCATCCATCCCCAGCAAAGGTGCTGGGTGATGCAGAAAGGACTGGCCAGGGCAGCCTGCAGCCACAGCAACAGTGATGTTTATATTTTGCACGTCCCTTTCTGGGAATGAGAGATGAGCAACAGCCAAACCCCTGCCATGGCTGGAAAAATGCAGATGAGCACCAAGGAGAAAAAACACCTGGGGAGTGGGGGCCGGGCTCGCCGCAGGGATCTGAAGAGCTGGAGACTCGGAGGTGGCATCTCACCCCACGTCCTGTCACAAGGAAAAACATCCAGCTGCCCCCGAGGCGGCGTCTCAAACCCTTTGGCCCTTCTCAGCACAGTGAGTCACTGGAGCTATTTTAAACACCTGCCTTAGGATGAGGTGAATTATCAGCAAACCAGGTGTCCCATGGCTCAGCTCCCCAGGAATGAATCCTGGTGGAAGTTGGTCTCCAAAGGCTTTTCACTGATGGCCTGTGTGGCAATGCCACCACCTCCACAGGGCAGGAGGGGAAACTGAGGCACAGTGCCCCAACTTGCTGGAGATCTTTTGTGGTGGAGCTTGGGTTTGCCTGCCTTTCCCTGCCCTATCCTCCCTTAGGCTGGGACCAGCCGCTTTAAACCCCTGATGTCCCCACATCCCCCAGGCAGGGGATTTAGTCCTCCAGGTGTTGAGACTAAAGCCCTGCACCCCCCTCAGCATGAACCCAAAGTGAAACCTGTCCCTTCCCAGACATCCTCCAAAAAATAAACCCCATGCTGTGACAGCGGGGGCAGCCAGGTGCTGGTTTCAGGCACCTGTAGCCCCGCTTGAGACCAGTCTCATGTTTTGGGGTTTACACCAACTTTCCTGAGAGTGGGATCTGCGCTAACACTGCCTGCGTGACACATCGAAACTGTATCACTCAGGCTGAGAGTTGGTGGGGGTTTTTATGAGGAAAAAAACACTTTATTCACTGAAAAAAAAAAAAAACAACAGCCAACCAACCCACAACCAACAACCGCAAAACCTTTCCAGTGTGTAAACTTGAGTCAAATTTAGCAGCTTCAGCTAAAGAAACATATTTTTAAAAGGGGTGATTGGAGTGCTTCTTTCATCCTTTTCCAAGCTTTTGGTCCCCTTTCTCCAGGGTAATATTTTTGTGTCCCTAATCACTGTGTTTATTACAGTTAGGAGGGGTTAAGCAACCCAAAAAATGAAACAACAGCTCCTGTTTCAAATTGAAGCAGCCGCTTCAGTTAACCTGAAATGACACACAGGCACGCGTGTGCATTTGAAAGGTTGCAGGGATGGAGATCTCACCCTGCTGCAAAAGCTGTGAGAAAAACAGAAGCGGCAAAATGTCATTTCAGGTCAACCCCTGCCAAAAGTCTTCATCTTCCCCCCGGCTCCCCAAAACAGGCAGGCAGGGCCGGGCCCCCTGGCACACGCGTGTGGCCTCCTAAGCACAGACCCCAACGGAAACCGCCCCCATGCTGCCAACCGCACGGCACGGATGTGCCACGACAGCCGTATTCTCTGTGCCAAGCTACTACGCGTAGTAAAACACTCGCTGCAGCATCCCTGTGTTGCATGGGTGCTTGTAGATCCCCCCAAAACACGTACATTTGGCTCCTGCCGTCACCAGCTGAGACCTGACGCCAATCGAAGCACAGCTGAGGATGCCGAGGACTTGGATGTCAGTCTTTTTCCCCCATCCTCTGGGGGGGTTTTCTCACTTTGTGGGGAGAGGAGCAGGGTGAGGGCAGAGTGGAGGCAGTGAGCCACCTTCTCTTGCCCAGCTGGAGGAACTTCTGTTGCTCTAGCAGGGTGTTTCCAGACAAAGTCTTTGATAAAGTCAATAAATGAAGCATGAGAAGATGGAGTGTGAATCGCCATGACTCTAGGACAGATGGACACAGACTCTCTGGCGTGCTCGGCCTCCTGCTGACACTGAGGGCTCCTGCTCTGATGCAGGATGGTTTCTATTTCTCAATGTTTGCAGCTGTGTTACGGGATGAAGTGATCTGCAAGAACCCTGTTTGTCACACCTTGTAGCCCACAGGTTTTTAACTCTGAGTGGAAGGAACAGCGTTTCCACCCTGGATGAACCAGCACCTTTCTGGAAACTTTGCTAGTCCAACACTGCACCCCCTGACTAGGATGGCAGTGATCTCTCTGCAGCTGGGTACCTCGAAATGCTCTATTTTTTGTCAGTTCTTAAGTTTCTCTTCTCCACTTCAGCTTTGAGTTGGGAAAAGGAACTGATTCTTCTCTCTCAGTTTTCATTCTAATTCAAAATCGAAAGCTGTCAGAGATCCTGAGCTCGTCGCCACGGTCTTGGGCTCACTCTGCCCCCTGAAATATCTCCCTGTACCCCGAGAGCAGCTGATGGTGAGGGAAGGAGCAAGGACAGGTTGGGTCAGGGCAAAGCACCCAGGTGCCAGGCCAGGCCCTGTGGTGAGGCACCAGCGACGAGCCTGTGCTGCCCTCTGCTGTCAGCCCTGTCTGCCCAAAACAGGCTGGTTTTGCAGACATGCACCTGCTTTATAATTTTTCATCCCTTTCTTTGAGTGCTTCCAATCCTCCTGTGTCCCGAAAGGCTCTCCAAACCTCTCTCTGAATGCTTGGCAGGAGCCATGATCCTGCCAAACCAGGACGTGACCCTGAGGGGATGGCAAGAGCCACCCTGGCCAGGAGGCTGAGCTGGGGGTGGCAATTATCCCTTTTCTGATGACCCCCAACACGTGAGACACCCTGAGGGACAGCCAGCTCCCCTCCTGCCATTGTCCTGCCCTTTGCAAACCGGGGAAGCTGAGGCGTCTCGTGAGGAACTGACTCATGTGGGGCAAAGCCATGCCAGCGGCCTGTGAGGCAGCTGCAAATTCAGCGGGGCACATCGCACGTTTCCCTCAGGAGCAGGACGTCCCCATGTCCCCACAGCCCGGGACACCGGTGGCAGCAGACCCTGTCCCTCTCTGCCCACACTCGGCGCCATTAAGGCCCAGTGGCTGCCGGCCACCCCTGTGGTGAGGTTTCTCCTCAGGGCATGAGAGGGCTGGCAGTGTCCTGCGGGCTGGCAGGGTCCCAGTCCCATGTCACCTGGGAAGTTTGTGGGGTTTTCTGACATCTGCAGTTATTTTTTTTTCCCCGGTTTATCCCCGTTTAGTCAGGAGGTGACTGCTGGTGCCTCATGGCTTGCCCCACAGTGGCAGCTACTCCCTCCCCCGGTTGTCCTTACCAGGGGACATTTTGGCACCGGGGCTTGGCTGGGGGCTGGAAATGGCCCCAAATGGCTTTGAACCCTTGAGGGGACCACGACAGCCGCGGGTGCTGGTGGAGCCACCCGGGGGTGCCGCAGGACCCAGGCGGGTGCAGTGCCCCCTCCCCGCCCTGCCCTGTCCGCCAGCTCCCTCCTGTGGCCCTGCGGGTGGTTGAAGCCGCTTCCTCCCGCCTTCTCCCGATGGTTTCGCCCAGGTGCTTGCTGGCTGTCTCCCCACCCCGCACCGTGAGCGCTCTCTCCCTGTCCCCGGGGGTGTTTAACCCGA